CTACTAGTGGTGAGTGCAACCTACAAAGTTCAAACCATTTTCCATACAATACCATAAAAACATAGAACAGTAAAAAAAACACTAAAAACAAAATACCTAACTATTATAGCAGTGGTGGGGCGAGCTAGGAGAAGGACTGTCCCACGGCTAATCTGAACCAGACTACTAGTTAAGTTTATGTATTTTTCTAAAATATAGCAAATAATGAAACCTACAAAGTTCAAACCATTTTCCATACAATACCATAAAAACATAGAACAGTAAAAAAAACACTAAAAACAAAATACCTAACTATTATAGCAGTGGTGGGGCGAGCTAGGAGAAGGACTGTCCCACGGCTAATCTGAACCAGACTACTAGTGGTGAGTGCACTTTACCAAAAAAGGGTTTCCCCCCGCTTTGTATACAAAGCAACCAGCCGAACCATACAGTGATAGGTGCTGGGGCAGAAGCAGCACAGTCACGCCCAAAAGAAACGACAAAGAGAGAGCAAAAGAAACAAATGCCGACAACGGCGGATCAACAAAAACGAAGAAGCCTCGCGATCGCTGCGCCCACCGGGATCTTCCACTAGGCTCCAAGACTCCGAAGCGCCGACACCTATCAACACCTCCAAGAAGGATCGCGACAATGACGACGCTGCTGCCAAGGGTTTCCCCCGGTACACGATGAGGCGAGAGGAAGGGTAGCCCCCGACGCCCTCCCGGAAGGTCAGGTGGCACCCACAGGCGCCGCCGCGCCGGTGTCGGCCACGCCGACAAGGGTTTCACCCGATCCCAACCCGCACCTCGGGCGGTCCGGATCCAGCCACCAAACCAACCACCACCATGCGCCAACGCGGTCATGAGGCCCCCACGCCGTCTCACCACGGCACCGCGAAGTGAGGACAGCGCGGCGAAGGATCAGAGTCGGGACTACGGCATCAGCACCGTCGGCACGTGGGAGGGCCCCACCTCCACCGTCAGCGACGGTAGCTGTCCGAACGCAATAGCAGGAGCACACCCAGCCCATGGGCCCACAGACCCGGCCGAGCCCTCGTGGGCCCGTAAAGCTCCCGCCTTCGCGTTGCTGCCGGCACGCCATCGGTGTCGACGCCCCATATCCGAGCCGCTCCTCCTCACCGCGCCGCAGACAACGAGGCCACGCCGGGGGGCCGGCCCGCTAGGACCTAGATGGGGCCCGTCGGGCCCAGATCTGGGCCGGGGGCGCAACGTCGGCCACCCAGCACCACCACGCCGCCCCGCCGCCAAGGAGCAGCGGCGCCACCACGTCTGTCGCCGGCCACCCTGCCGGGTCACCGGACCGCCGCCAAGCCGAGCGACACCGCCGCCGCCCCCCTGCCCGGGCCAG